GAGAGAGAGAGAGAGAGAGAGAGAGAGAGAGAGAGAGAGAGAGCGAGCATCCCCAAACACATGAACTCTCCCCTATTATATGCACACTCACGAACATGCATCTCTTGGTTGAGCGTTTGCCAAGACCCGTGCACGAAGTGAATCAACAAAGGGCATTTCTAGTTCCATGACTACTGAAAAGCGATAAGCCTAAGAGGGCTTTAAAACGGATCCATCATTATTATTTCCATTTTGAGGGGGGGGGGGGGATTGCATCCAAACCTTAAACTTGTCCGACCCATCTATCTTTAACTACCCGTATAACAGATTAACGGGAAAGAGATAGCGTGCTACTCGCTTCAAAGTCTAGGGTTATTGAAACGGTTCAAATCTTACCGTAGTCCAGGCATATTCATTATTATGGTTTATTAAACGAGAGCATACTCCTTGGCCGTGCAGTTTTTTATGTTTTTTTCCCCCACCCCAAGACCAAGTTAAAATAATTTTTACAGAGTGTATTCAATTCTATGGGCAGCTCACAACCTCTCAATTACTCGTCCATTGGCCAGCTATTTAAGAGACTCAGTACCCAAGGGACATACACTGCCGCATTGTAAAGCGATTTGCTATTCTGTATTTGCCTAGAAACCTTTTGCTGTAAGACGAAGTGAAGAAAAGACACCAAAGTCACATATTATTCTAAAGGATACACCCACCTATCGAGAATAGTGTGAGATCAAACTTACACCACAGGAATATGAGTCTGACAGCCTAACCACTACAGTATGAGGTCTTTATCCTGATTCAGACCAGGAATAGAAGAAAATGCTCTAAACAACCATCAAGCCCATTATTTTTCTGAACTCTTAAACTACATTATTGTAATGGTCTCATACACACAGAAAGAGGAATTCTCACCAAAAGACGAATTCTCGACAACAAAAAATAAAATACTTTTCAAATTACAAAAAGACAAAATATAGAGAACCATATTATGATAAATAAAGCGAAGAAAACTTTATATTCCCTTTTAACTCTGCTAAAAATACACACGGAAGTTGTGGGTCTCGCGAGCACAAAAAGCTATCCCTTTCCGATCTCTAGACATTAGTTATTATGGCTTCCTCTTGTTTTCTTCCCTCTCTCAACGTACAGCGGTGTGAACAACCAACCACTCGAAGCTCACTACAGCCCTTTTGCCCTTCACCCTTGCTTAAGCACTCCAGAAAATAAACATCCCTTTAAGCAGTTCATTTCAATCTACCCCTGTGCGAAGCAGTGAGCCGTCCTCTCGAACCTTTAGCCCCCACGGAAGTCTTAAACAAGCACCCCTGCACGGCACCAAAATGTTAAGTCAAGTTTGTCCTTACGGGACTTTGTTGGTGTTTCCGCTTAGGAATCTGAGTGACCTGTGCTGGACACCCAGTCGCCTATTTCCTAATTGACATGACCTCGGGAAGCGGTTTCACCAGAGTATTGTGTGGGTGACAATATTGAACTAGTAGTTTTGAAATCCGATCTCTCGTTGGCTTGCAATAAATCCCCGAACAATTCTTCCTGCTTTAGCAACTGACTGTAGGCGTGGTTGTTAGAGCTGCTGTGCATTGCAGATACAGATGATAAAAATAGTAACCTTATGTGTTAAGATATAATACGAATAAAACGATTTTGTTTTGTTGAGGCTGTGGGAGTGCGACGGTGTTAGGGAGGAGTCAGTGGATATAACCAGCGACAGTGTTAGGGAGGAGTCAGTGGATATAACCACATATGGATTTGTAACCCCTTCGAGTAAATTCATCGAAGGTGAACATATAAACAACCCAAAAG